GGGGAGTAGAAATACTCCTAGTTGCTTCATGCTACGGAAACCGGGATAAGCTCCGGCCTGATGGGCCACTTGGCTCGCATGCAGACTTTACCTTACCTATGTGGTCTACAAAAAATAATTTCCTTACTCAAAATAGCTATTAATGGTAAGTTTACATAATGTGATAAACTTACAATACAGCTGCCATCTTCTTTAGCTCCACAGTCACAAAAGAATGAACCATACTTGGCATATGAGATGTCATGGTCTTTGTGGCAAACCTTTGCACACACTGTACACACTCCTACCCCATCATTCATCTTGCAAGTGTGGCAGTGGTACCAGTGTTGGTTCATGAACTCTTTCTGTGTCATAGTGAATGTGCACAGTTTGTTGCAAAGAGAATCCTCATCCTGTAAGAGAAAATGACCACAAGAATAACATAATCGTACCTGTGCAGAGGGGGCGTGGTGGCCTCAGGGTTAGTGTGCGCATCTCTGGATCAAGCAGTCTGGGTTCGAGTCTGGGCTGTGGGTAATGTGTTGTGTTCTTGGGCAAGACACTTTACTCTCACAGTGCCTCTCTCCACCCAGGTGTATAAATGGCTACCAGTGAACTTAATGCTGGGGGTAACCCTGTGATCAACTAGCATCCCATCCAGGGCAGAGTAGAAATACTCGTAGTTGCTTCATGCTACGGAAAGCAGGAAAAGCTCTGCCCTGATGGGCCACTGGCTCGTATGCAGACTTTACCTGCCTGCTCGTATGCAGACTTTCACAAAGCAAGAGGGGAAGATCTCAGAGTGGAAGATACTTGGCAATACATGTATGAACCTGCTAGTTATAAAATTATGTGGAAATAGTGATTATTAAGCTCCAAAAATATTTACAACAAAACTTCCTTTCACTTACAGACTCTTCCCCACCAGAATCCTCATCATCTCCACCCATGTCATCCATCCAATCTGATTCTACATCTTGAAGCATTGAATCACCATCAACAGGACACAGTGATGGGGAGGGAGGACACTCCTTATCTGAAGAGTATTTTAAAGCTGTCATCACCTCTGCTAAATAACGAAGAAGAGGCCCTGCTGCATCAACCATGCCACTCTCTTTTCCTTTCTCACCATTTTCGGCCACCAGGAGAAGTTGAGTTTTACTGAAAGAAAGATAGGCACAGTGTACACTTACATGTATGCGTGTTTTAAATGCTCTCATTGTAAAGCCAGTCTATTACAGTTACCATTTCTCAAGCCACTGGATAACAGCAGTACAAAGGGTAAGATGTCCTGATCCATCCCCTGCACCAGCCAATACTGCAGCGATATTCAGGAGGTCGCCAAACTTAGATCCAATGTTACTCCACTCTGCAGGAACATCTGGCAGTAGCTCATTTCCAAGGGGAATTAGGCACTCTAACAAGGCATGGCTGACTTCTTCACCAACAGGACTGTAAACAATACAGTGAAAATGATATCATTTGCGATCATAGCTGACTGCAAAATTTTCAGACAGTTTGGTATACTTGTTAATTTAAGTTTATATTTAAACAGTAAGTACAGTCAGAGGCATATCACCTTTTCAAGGTGATATGTTTCTGGTACAGTATAATAAGATTTTACTTCTTTTTGTTGCCTTTTTGGAAGGAGTGTGCATGTGGGTGTTGGGGGGGGGGGAGGAGGATACCCCAACCTCCAAGTCAGTACACAGTCACACATAATATCACTATCGTATCAGCCATGTTCAATTCCAGTATCAATCCAGTGGTTTACAGCTTCACAAGAGTTTTCTGCAACATCTGATAAGGCTCTTAAAATGCAAGGACTCTACGAGGTGAAGCAATTAGGGACTTGCCATTTATGACAATAAGGACCCAAAGGGGCAGAGCTGAGTGGCCACAATATGAAGGCATCCATATCATCATTGAATACTGTACCTTGCTTCCTTAACAATGTAAGTGGCAAATGTCTGTAGAAGAAGTCTGTTATCTGCCATCTTTCCTGTGTTTCCTTTGTCATCTTCTACACCAAGCATAATCCTTCTCAGCCATCCCTCCAGGGTTGCATGGTCTAAATGGCAAAGCTCTGAGAAGCCAGAGCACAAGAAGTGCATCCCTAAGTTCAGAGGCTTCTCAGCTATGAAAGAGAACAAAAACAGTTACACATGTCACTACTGAACTCTTTAATATGAAGAAAATTTTTTTGCACTTGCCATTAGCTTAAAACTCCTCAAATTATGAACAATTGCATGTATCTTAAACCGTTCCTTTCAACTTTGTTCAATGATTACTATTCTTCATTGTACTTAACGATATATCAAAGACACTTACCAAGCTGCAAGAAACGGACTGACAGTTTCAAAGTCCTGTTAACATATCCCAAAGACAGTCTTTTGTTTGCAGACAGCACAATAACTTTACAGAGTTCTTTGTTCTTTGAGTACAACTGCTCCAGAAGGCGATGGTCAGATACTTTTTCCAACAAAGAGTCTATGTATTTCAGACAGTCTACTAGCACCTCTTCACCAATATCAGACCTGGAAAAAAGAAACACTATCTGCTATAATCATGTTTTGCAATTGAATATATGGGAATTAGCTGCATGTGTCACAATTATAAAATATAGATTAATAAACTACGATGCACCATGATAGAATTGCCTGAAAGACATTTTCAACTTATTTGTCACCCTACACATACATCTGACATCTACCCAGTACACTGGAACAACTGTTGCAGCTTTTATAGTTTGCTTTCTATGGTGATGTGTAAGAGTAATTTGTTACTTCTTCTTAGCTGGGATTATATTTATACTCAATAAGTACATCTCAGTTTTCACCTGGAAAACAAGCAGTTACAGTGTAACTCATGGAAAATTTAGTTACTGCATGACATTTATTAATATACAGTGCCTAGAAGGGAGTACTTCCTGTATGTGTGGTACAGTACAAGTGTATAAGATATCAATAAACCATTTTGTTTAATGCTCTGAAAAACACAAACACTGTACCTATCTGCTCCCAACTGGTCAACAAGAAGTTTGTGACATTTTGACAACACGTATGCCTGAACACAGTTGGCAAATTTGTCACTGTCTGCAGGACCAACAACTCGCTCTAAAATGGTGTTGCATTGCTCTGAGAGATACTCCATAGTGGCATCCACCATGACAGGTACTACATTATCACACAGTTGTTTACCCAGGGCAGTCTCCATGGAGTGTTCCTCTTTTGGACTCCACCTTAAGCATGATGGTGCAAAAAATTGTCTTAAAATAATGTATATGCAAAAGCCATGACACTTTATTTTAAATAAATATTACAATATTTAGAGAGGAGGCCACATCAGCCTTAGCTGGTTTTCATGCGTGTCCTCTATCCTGGTCAAATGATGATGACGATAATGAGTATGTACAACTACAGTCACCATTACTCTGACATTTTGTGTTACTTAATAATTCTTTCAGACCCAAGCTAAGACAACAACAACAACAACAACAACAACAACAACAACAATCTTTATTTTGTGCCCAGAAAAATTTTACAATAAAAATAAATACATGCAATGTGAAAAAATAACAATGAAAAACAGAGCACGGCCACTTAGAAATAGCTAAGGCTAATCGAGCTAAGTGGCTGGGCCAAGCAGAAAAAATATTGCAATAAAGTTACAGAATATATGAAAAAAAAACAGGACACAATTTCATTCACACACAGACACAGACACAGACACACATACAGAGAATGAAAAAGAAAAAAAATGAATGTGCACACAAAAAAATGAAAAATGAAAGTACATCAATGTACCAGTCAGTAGTTGGAGATAATCAATTCTTTTAAGAGATTTTTGAAGCAAGCACGACTCTTAGATTTAAGTGAGTCATCAATGCAATTCCAAACTTAATTTAATTTAATCTTAATTTACACAATTCTTCAATGGTAATGTAAGTCCTAAAGATTTACATGTAGCTTTAATTCATGAAGTTACATATTGACACTACACTATTATTTGAAGACTTTCTTGAGCTTTGTCAAAATAATGATCACACGTCCATCGAAAATCAGTGGCAGTAAAACATTTTCAGGAAGTGCATTACGAATGAAGTATTTATCGACATGACTTACGTTAGCAACTCTGCAGTTAGTTGAACTAGTGAATGAAGAGTGTGTTTAAGGGCTGGTGCTATCTCCATTGAGCCAGCACTGCACACAGCAGACAGATGTGCCGACACGAGAGAGTCCAAAAAGCTTTCTGCTCCAATTTCAATCAAACAAGCTGATGTTTTCCATGACGATGCTGAGGGAAAACTTGTCATCACAATATTGTTCCATTTTTCTAAAGCCTTCTTCACAGATGACGGAAGACCTGCAGTGAATATGTAATATGTACAGCATTGTGAACATGCATTAATTAGCATAGAAAGTTGACTTCAGACTCTGTTGATTCAGCTGTACATTCAGAGAAGAGAAGCATGGCTCCCTTTCCTGAACAGTGGCTGGTAGTGGAACCTACAGTAACTCTTCATTAACTATCCTCAGCTGATGTAATGATTTCCAGTACGTGTGAATAATCAGTGTTTGCACCAGCATAACAAAGGTCACATCTTTGACTCTTGGTGGAACCTTAAGTTTTTTTGGCATTCTATTCATCAGGTTATAAGTTGATATAAAACTGCTAAGACACCTTCTCCAAGGGTAACATGACCAACTAGTTATTTTTTAACCACTTTTTCTGCAGTCAGCAATTTTCTTTATTTAAAATGTACAATCCCTAAACATGGCAACCTTGTTAACCTAACTGGAATTTGGCGGCCCAATGTTGGTCAGATTACTATAAGGTTCTGAAGGTAACAACCCTGCAAAAGTCGAACACTAGAAAGTAGCAACAACTGGAATGCCGTGGTTGCAGGAAAATCCCGAAAGCAGCAACACTCATAAGAAGCAACATCAAAATGTACATTGACACTAATAAAAAACAAATGATCTGATATTGGTTTTAGATGGCCATTATTACAAACGCGACATATATTACTTCATTTAGTGTGACATAATTTCTTCTCAACAAGATTTATCTGTTCCTTCTTTCCTTCTATCACAAACATTTTTCTCTTGTTAGGATAGATCAGCCCACAAGCTGTAATTGTGTTAGCTGTATGTACCAAACAGTTGCAGCCCTCTTGAAATCTGCAGCCCTTCAATAATAGCAAAACAAAAAGGCTCCTACATGTAAATCTGAAATGATGTGGGTCATTATTTTTATTGTAACAGTGCTCCACTCTAAACTTGCCAGTATTACTGCTATAACATCTACAGTAACCAAAAACCATACACACCTGCCAGAAATGTTAAAGAAAGGCAGGGGTGCTTAGGTAATCGCATGTATCCAATTTTAATGACACTGGAATATGCCTGTAAAGATTCTGCACCCTCATTGTCACTGTTCTTTTGTTTCACAGCACCAGATAGCAAACAAAACCTGACAATCAACAGTTAACAATCACCTTAAACTTAGTAACAATACTTTTGAATAAGGAAAGTCAAGAACAATTGCTACTTGCAAACATGAAAAAGTAATAATCATTTGTGGGTACATTTAGTAGTATTCCTTCTAAACAATCGAAACCCAGATTTTGCTATTGGAATAGATTTCCTATTCCATTTATGGCCAAACTAGTCTTAGGATTGCAAAACAAACCACGTCTGAAGGAGGATCACACAGATTGCAAACCAAAGCTGGTTTTTGATTTTCGTTCCATTTAAGCAAACATTTCAGATTTTGTCTACATGTAATTTGTTTTGAAAAAGTCATTTCCAGACCCCTTGTGGCTGTGGCTCAGTTGTGGGCTCAATATTCATTTTTTTTTTTAGATTTTTTGTTCCAGTTTCCATGCACATTCAAACTACATGTACAATGTATCTGAATAACCATAACTAAATCTAATACTGGATTGGTTAGAAGAAATACTACACACCTGTACCTCACTTTAATTTTGCTCTTCAAAACTAACTATGATGGTCTCATAGATGATTGTTCCATTAGTTCCCATATTCTTGACTTTCAGTCACTATTTTTCACAATTTGCTCTTCTGCACAAATAACATGAATATTAAGTAACATGTGCTTTGGAGACTTTTAGGAAAATCATGTTTTTCTGGGCAGATAAATACAGTAGACCACTTAGTCCAAAAGCAGTTGTCTTTTACTTTTAACAAAAATGTTTCCTGATTTCTAGAAAAGTGTTAATTATTACACTGCACTCCATATAAATCTCTTACCCAGCAAATTTCTGATACAGTGGAATCAAATCAACCAGCACAGGGAGAAGTTCATTTGCATTTTCCACGATCATTGTCAAATCAGGATCTTCATCTGAGTTTCCAAACAGTGAATTCAGAGCCACATGAGTTTTTCCTATCACAGCATCAAGGGTGCAAAGGCTCAACAGTCCTGGCAACTGGGAAGGGTTATCCTCCTCAAAAAGTTCAGTCTGAAGTTTGGTCATCTGCACAGAAATAATAATTATTACGATACATTATGGATTGCCTTCACCAATAGCACTCTTCGATTTCCTTCATTTTTCCTGTCTTTCTCGTTTCACACAATAATTTTGTAACAAATTGTTACAAACTGAGACTGGCAATTACGTTTTTACATATGCTAATGAGAAATTTGAGGTAACATTAATATTGCATGTAGATGATAGTATGAAAGCCAATAAGATGAGGTTTTTTATTCAAAACATCTGACAACATTCATTGTCATGAGGAATCTACAAAGCTTTCACAGATCTTTGCTACAAATCGTTTTACACCACGTTGAAAGGAAAGTGTTTCGAGAAGTTTGCCTACTGATTCCAATATCTCACGGGGCAATTTCAGATGTACATGGTACTGCATGTGTACGTGTAGTTATTAAACAATTTATTCCTAAAGTGAAAAAGTTTTGAATTAATCTTGTTTCCTTCTGTTTCAGAGCTTATGACTTACATTCATTTTACCACTGTAACTGTTACCTCTTTCAAGAACTGTTTTGCCATCATGACACTGTGATGAAGATCTCCACTCAGTCTTGTGACGTTATCAATTATGCTATTAGAGTCCTCCTTGGACATTCCCTGATCAACAAGACTATTCTGTAGAGGTAAACAAGACTACACGTGAAGAAGGTAGAACATCTCAATATTGCTGTTCGTTGAATGATGCTATGGTGCCTACATTTCAACTCAAAATTGCTTGGGAAAATGTTGCTAGAATTAGCTTTGGAGACCCTCTTGAGTTATTGTGGAGCATGCTGGAAAAAAATTTGATTGAGGACAAATTTTCATGGTACATGTTTTATTGCACATATCTCCTGACATGTGAAAATCTGTGCAGAACAGTTCGGCATTTTACAATTCTTGACCCTCCCAAGAACAACAAGCCATGATAATGTTGCGTGATGCTGGATCTAGATTCTTGGGTCTGTGAGAACTGGGTTTGAACATGCACAAGAGCTAGCAAATATGTGTAATACCACCATGCATTTAAGAACTTACAGAATTACAATACAAGTGTGGTATTGTATGGTCTCCTTGTGTGCATTAACAGATGATTTCATTAGTAGATTGCAGCATTTTGTATATTTGTTTTCTTGTTTTCCCAAGGCAGTTAAGACAACAGTACTCTCAAGCCTGTATTGTACTCAAATACTGTATGACAGATTGACACTCATTTAATCTTTTCCATGTGCATCTGATAATACAGTACTTCGCCCTGAAAATGAGTATCTGAGGCACAAAAATATCTCCAACACTAAGGATATTAAAATGGTTATGGGACCATACAATGGCAATACAATTAAAATTAACATTCTATACAATGGAAATTGACAAACCTTGAGTGTTTCACAGAATGTAGTGTCTGGACTTGAAGAGCCAAGTTTGGAAACAAATTTCAAACTACACAAGAGTTTGGCAAGGTCAGGATCCTTTCATATGGTGGAAGAAACAAATATTGTTATACATGTATTTTTGTCTTGAAACTAAGACTGGGTGAAACAACTAAACACGTATGCCCCGCACCCATAATTTTTAAGGGAGGTGTGTGAGATTATAAAACACAGCCATGTATACTGTACGGTACAAATTCAAGAATTCAACTGAGTTCAGGTCAGGAGGCTACCAAATAATGCAGAAATTGCTTAAATACAGGTTACTTGTCTAACTCTCAATGACTTTATGTGACAAACTAAATCTCCCTACCAAAGCTAGTAGCTGTGTGTCAAGCCACGTTTGTGTCTATCTGAGCTAACCTGGCTGTGCAATGTGTTCTACTCACTGCGACGTGGATGTGCTGCATCTCAAGATCCTGCTGTAGACTCTTGAAAAACTCAACTGATGGTGGTAAACAGTCTAATATCCGCCAAGCAAGGTTAAAGCTATGCTTCACCACTGCTCCATCCACAGGCATTGAAGGGTGGCTGTCGCCTGAAGAACTCTTCACTTCTTGCCGAGATCCCACCATCAGAAGTTTGATTACTGCAGAGTGAAAGTCTTTATAGCTCTGCCCTTCCTCAGACAAACTAAGTAGTGTAGAACAAGCCTAGAGACAAATTTATAATTATTATTTAACCACACGTCGCAAATCAAGTACAACTAACACTCAGAAATTATTTGCATAGAACTTTAAGGTTATTTTGCCAAGAGAATCTTTATTTTTCAGTGGGAAAAAAAGCACATACTTTTTAATTCATGTTATTTCAAGATCCAAAATCAGCAACTAGTAAATGGCACAATTATTGACCCCAGCTAAGTTTGTGTCAGGTTAATTTATTTAACCCATTGACTCCTGTGCTGGCCGTAACTGGCTGTGACGAGCCTTGGCCTTTCTTCCACTTCTGACGTCATCACCTTTGACCAAAATTGGCATCATCTACGCTCAACTTCTGCAGGAGGAAAAGATCTTTCCAATGATACCCAGATCAGAGTGATTGACCCAATGGAGCCTGCGATATGCACAAAAATGCTCAAAAAGTTGAGTGAAAAACTCAGAGCAAAATTTCTTGCCACTACACGTGGCTACTCCATGGCAAAAATTGCCTGTCTCAAAGATGCTTTCTCAGAATGTTTTAAACTTAAAACAAGCTCAGTAGAAGGTCAATCACTGCAGCAAAAAGAAAAGAAAAGAAAAGGAGAAAAGGGAAAGGCGAAAACAAAAAATAATAAAATATATCAAAAAGCCTAAAGACATCTCAAAATTTTGATTTCTGCACATGCCCGAGCAAAAATGTCATAAAACGCGATGCTAGAGGAAAGAAAGGCATACTGTCATGTTGCAAATGTGTTTTCGGGTATGTTGGAGCTTATGTCCAAAATATGCGTTTTTGGCAAAAAGCTCCAGGAGTCAATGGGTTAATCAACTACATTACAGGGTGATTAATTCAATGGTAAATGGAAACAAATTAATTTTCAAATATCATAAGTTGTGCAAGTTAGATTAAATCATGATCGTGCAAGTAAGAAACAATAGAAAAGGGTTATTGCAAACCCCACAATGCATACAGTACCGCTCAAAAGTAAGTTACCACCTCTCGTCTCGTTTCTCGCGAGACGAGTCTCGTTTCTCTCGA